TGCGTTGAACCGATCAGATGCCGGGGCTTATGTTGCTATGACAACATACTCCAGCTTGTCTATCCTAACAAATACAAACCCATTTTACAGACAGAGAAACAAGGTTGATAAAGTGTAAGATGCTTGTCCAAGGTCAATAATCTATTACTATGGGAGAGGAGAGATTCAAAATCAGGTTCTTCTAACTCCAGAATCTTAGCTCTTAATTTTGTCCGTGTATCACTATCATCATCATCATCATCATCATCACCATCAAATACTACCTGTACCCAAATACTGATTCTAAAATATAGCTCTGCAGCTGATGAATGAAGGCACAAAAAAAGGAAAGACCAACTCCCGATTTCTTAATCACTAAGAGTTGAAATATAAACAAAACATCCCCAAATCATTACTTACATAATGCTATTTCCATTCTATTTTTTCCTGATCCTTTATAAACTTCCAAGTATAGATATATCTATGGTTGGCATGAATGAGTCAGTACAAACTAAAACACAGAATATGATTTAAAGGTGTAACTATTACTATGTAATCTTCTTATACACGTATGGAGAAAGAAAAGACTCGAAGGACACACCTAAAATAGTGACTTATCCATCCCTCAGACGTCTGTTGAGTATCTATGTGCTGAGTACTGTTTGCAACAGGAACAGGGCACATGAAGGACAGATGACATCTGCGCCTCCTGGGCAGCTTACATTCTAGTATGATTCCTTGGAAAAAAACAAAAAGGAAGTCATGGGGAATTTTAATTTTCGTCTGTGTATTTTTTTATTTTTCAATTTTTTTAAAGACCTCACTTTACTGTCTATAAAATAGCTTTGTATTTATTGGAATAGACTAGCTAGATGATGTTCCTGTAACAAATAGACCCTGGAATCTAACTGGTTTAGCACAACGAGGAGTTTTGCTCACTCAATGTCTCATAGTACACTGTTTATACACCATTGAACATTTATTTTAATCCACCATTCTCAACTTAATTGCACCAAACAAATCATGATCCAGTCCTCTGAAAACCTTTAGAGAAATACTAATCAGAATTGGGAGAGGGCATCTTTAAGACATGTGGGTAAAGGAGGGAAATTATGACTGAGGGTATTAACATTTCATAATTTACAAGTTACTGGTTTCTTCCAATAAAATTGCCAAAGAGATAACAATAAAAATTGAGTTGGATGACAAGATAATTTAGCATCATGCCACACAGACTATTACAGCAACCGGTGATTACATTTTCTGAACCAAATATTAACGTGTAAGTTATGACTGCAGGATTATGTATGGAGACAACAGAATGCAGTATTTGAAATGGAAATGTATGGTTGCCGTATCCAAAGTGATCATCAAGAATTTATGAATCCAGCTCTAGCCATTCTACTATCATTATACTAATAAATGTTCTTACCTTCACCTATGATAAACAGCTCCTCTGTCTTCTGTCTTTCAGTGCTCAGATCATAAAATATCAGCTGTTTGTGTTTCTTCAATTTGCAAAACACAAGAGCGGAACGCTAAGATAAGGGGAGAACTGTGGGGGTCTCCACTCCTCCCCACCGCTCTTCTGGCTGATACCATCCTCCATCACTTCTAGAGATACGGTTAATTTTTCACAAGCAAAGTCCCTGCTCCAACCACAGGCATCAAAGGGCTGTCACTTCCCACTTTGGTATCCAACTGACCCATCTTACCCAGGATCTAAAGAATTCTTGTTTTTCTCTCTCTCATTCACTTTATTGGGGGGGGGATTGCATAAAAATTCCTAGTTATTTCTATAACTTTAGCTAACTTAATACTCAATAGTTGTAGGCAGAGAAAGTGAGAGGGAGGGGGGGAAAGTGACTGAAAAGTAGAAATTTTAATCCTGTGCAGCACGGCTCAGCTGGTTGAGCATCATCCCACAAAGCCAAAGGTCTCTGGTTTGATTCCCAGTCAGGGCGCATGACTGGTTGCAGGTTTGGTCCCTGATCGGAGCATATGCAAGAAGCAATGGATTAATGTTTCTCTCCCTCTTTTTCTCCTTCCCTTCCACTCCTTCTAAAGACAAATAAATAAAATCTTTTAAAAAAATAAGAAGAAGGAATTTTATAGGCTGGATGTTTGACCGAACAGGAATATTTAAGTTTACTAGCTTCAAACTTATCATTTTACACATGAGAAATCAAGATACCTGAAGTTACCCAAAATCCAATTCTAATGCCCCATCTGCAAATACACAGGCTGTGCAAGCAGATACTTGATCTTCTTCACCACTGTGTCCTTGCCTAGGACATTGTTCAATGAGTGAATTGATGTGCAGCGAACAAATGCCATCCCAGAAGTGGAGACAATGTGTCCAAAGTCCTGACTCCAGATGGAGGTAGGATGGATGGGGCTGTTCCCTGCAGTGACCAGGTCTCTGGTGGGACCCAGAATCTCGAGCTCAAATCAATGCTCAGTGGGGTCAGGTAGGAGCCAGAAAACAGGACCAGAACTGGCCACAGAGACCAGGAAAATGAAGACAGGAAGAGCACAGTGTCACAAGCACAAGGACATACCACTGGCATCAGGGGGTCCTCCCAAGAGGCAACTGCATGGGAAAACAGAAAAGGAGGCCCTCAGGTCAAGCACAATCAGAAAAGAAGGCGGACCTCAGCCTGGGTAAGGGAGGAGAACATAGTCCTAGACAAACCAAGGTAGAGCTGTCAACAAGACATAGTAGGTGCTCAATAAATACCATGTGAATGAACAAATGATTACTGGTTGGCAGTTGAATGGAAGTTCAAGGCTTCCCCCATGACCTGTAGGCCATTCCCCCATCTACCCATCCCTATGCCTCCCCTAAAATAAAGCCCTATGGCAGCAGTACAAAAATAGGGGCACTCCAGCAGAGCCGAAAGCCCCACCCAACCTGGGAAGGTCTACCCCCATACGCAGTCCCCCAGGGCAGCTGGGAGAGGACAGAGTCCTAAAGCACTCTGGCAATACTTTATACCCCCAACTGTGACATTGGGAATTTTGGAGGACAAAGAAAGGACTGGCATGTTACACCTTAATGAAGGTCTTTAAGGCCATGAGACTTTATGCTAGTAACACTGAGATGTTCTCTGAGGAGACTCTGGCTTAAAAACTGGAGAGAGAAAAAAAAATACTGTAATGGAATTTAAAGACCAGGCAGTCAGAAGTCCTAAGCTCCATAGACAATTTTCTAAGCTAACTAGATCTCCTGGCCCCAGTTTCTTTAGTTATAAAATGAGTGAGATATTAGTCGAAGATCCCTAATCTACTTTGGTTTTAATCATATTTCAGTTCCTAACTAAGGCCTAAAATGAGGCATCTCTGAGTCTATAATCACTATGAATTTCATGCCAAATAGCTGGCCAAGGCTCCTCCATCCCCTTCTTTGGAAAAAATGAGCCCCCTTTAGCACTGAAACAAAGGTCTACCTCAGTGAACAGCCGGAGGCAACAGAGCTCTCCTTTGCTGTTACAAGAAGCAAGCATCTCCAGCCACGATCTGCTTCTTAATTTCCATTCCAGTCGCCACCTACCACACTGGGCTACCGAAGTCATTTTATGTCCTCTGAATCTCACAACAATATGTACCGTACCTTGCCATGTAAAACACGCACCCACATTTTTGTACACATTATACATGGGACTATCATACCCATTATTATACCCATGGTTGGTGTGTACTCATTATACCCATGTATAATGTACACCCTTATTTTTCCCTCAAAAAATTTGGGCAAAAAATGTGTACATTATACACTGCAAAAATACAGTATTTTTCTACTGACACTATAGTGCCTGTCAGACATCCTTATTAAATAGCAGATTCCTCCTATTGGAAAGTTAACTCTCTGAGCTCAGGACGTATTCCATTCCTCTGAGCATCTCTCAGAGCACCTGACAGGCTACCTTGCACTTGGCAGGGCCTGTAAATATCTGTCCCTATACATGGTGCAGGGGTCTCTCTCCCACAAGTTTAACGAGGTTAGAATCTCCTTGTGCACAAATAAGGACTCATTCTTCCACTATAGATCCCCTTACATATACCAAATCATTAGACTAATATAATGTTATATGTCAATTATAATTCAATAAAAAGAGCCCCTAACTATTTCATATCACTGTACATCTTTTGAAAGTAGATAAAGGGGTAAATCAAACCAGGACGTGGCAACTTGAGTCTGTTAAGAGTCAAATACTAAATATCTTAGGCTTTGTGGGCCACAGAGACTCTGTTGTAACTATTTAACTCCATGATGTACTTGCATTTCAATAAAACTTTATTTATGAGAAGAGGCCATGGGCCATATTGACCTGTGCACTATAGTTTTCCAATCCCTGGATTAAATCTTGGAACACGAAAACAAGCATAAGAACAACTTATTATCATTTTGCCAGTCTCAGTGAGAAACATTTGATCCTATATGGACTCTTAACAAGTGTGTTAAGAAAACAGATAACAACAATATGATAATAACAATAAAAAAACTAAAGCAACATCTTCATTCATTGATTATGTCTAGACACTAGCCAATCATTTAACTGTATTTAATACGATGTACATACGACTGACTGTGGATTTAAACACATAACCACAAACAATCTGTTGATATGTTTAAAAATCATAAATTCTGTCACAATAACATTCAGACTAAAACTCTAGCCATTTCTAAAACCCATCCACAGAACAAACCCCCTTTAGCCTGTTCCAGAAAGGTTTTTCTCTGCATAATAAACTCTAGGGGGAGCCGAGAGAAAGGGGTGGGCAATTAATTATGAACATCTGTGGGTGGCAAACTCCGGTCCCTCCCAAAACATAATCAATACAAAAATAAGACAAAAATCAGATCTCACAATCTCCGCAAAGGCATAAATAGGGGTCCTGATTCACACACTTTGGTCTATAAAGAGGGGCAAAAAGAAAGGCCTAATATTTATGGACTACATTTTTTTTTGCTTTGGCTACAACTTAGAACAAAAACTAGGCAGTTCCTCTTCACTCACCAGTCATCTGAGGATGAGGATGCTGGCTCTGTGCACCTGTCCTGGTTCCTGCAGCTTCTGCAAAAGAGATTCATCCACCCCAGACTCATCCTTCCAAACAGCTGCTAGCACTCACGGACTCACACGCACACACTACCCTCCTGGAAGCCTGGGACTCTGTACGCAGTGCAGTTGCCTCAACTCCTCCCCACGTGGTCCCTAAATAATAAACCAAGTTAAGCTTGAGCGGTCTGACCCCGGAGAGGAGAAAGAAAAAGATCGGGTGCCTCCGCCAAAAGATAACAAAGGTTGCAAACCGATCCCAGGGAGCTTGGAGTCAGTTTAAATGGCACCAGGATACTCGCAGATCCAGACACACTCTGGCGCTAGACACTGGCCCGGAAAGTGGATTAGCTGGACAGATGGCATCAGACTTGGAGCCGGGATCCCTGGGAGAGTCTGCCAGCTACTGTTGGAGCGCCCACCAGGGTATGCAGGAAGCCTGTAAGAATTCCAAGGCCTTTCAGGACCCAGCTGCCCTGTCCCCAAGCAGTCTGCCTATGAGCACACGCGCACACACACACATATTGAGGGGAAGGTTTACTCACTGACAAAGGCTACAGAGGGGCAGAGGAGGGTCAAAAACACCTAAAGAGAAATGGGGAGTCAAGTCTGAGCCCGTTTGTAGCCAAAGGAGAGGCTGATAGAATGTTTCACAGATTCACTTTGCATTCTCTGTGACTCGCAGTCCACCTTCCTCTCTGTTCGGTTCACAGTCCTTGGTGGACAGAGGACACGGACTGAGCAATTCAGTTCCTGAACTAAAACAACACAGACATCAGCACTGTTATAACAGCTCTGGGAGGAAGTTCCACCAGCTCCCACAGAGCAGCCCCAAATGAATGGCAGGGAAATGAGGAAATGGCATCAGGGCCACCAGTCCCACTGAGATGGGGCAATCAGTGATTCTGCTCCAGTATTCTTATTTAAAGGGGAAGGAAGAAGAGAAGTGGTTTCCAAAAAGGGAACCTAAGTTGCAAATTGTCAATGAGAAGCAAGAAAACAACAGCAGCAAAACAACAACAAAACAAACTACCTAATCCAGAGTCCAAGAAGGCAGAAAGAGTGTGTGAGGGAAGCAAGGAGACATACCTGGCCAAGGATAGGGGGGCATGGGCCACCTCAGGGCACTCCCATGTCTGTCCTCCCACAGCTACTGCACTCCTGCCTGGTGGAGAGGGTGGGGGTGCGCTTGGTCCCCCAGCAGCCCCTACCCAGGCCTTACATCTGCCCCTCCTGTGACTGGGGAATATAACACAACTGATATCCTCTGCAAGGAGATCACCACCTCTGTGCCCTGCACTGCGCATTTCCAAGTGGGCTTTTCAAAGGTAGCAGACACGGGTGAGAAGGGCAGAATCGAAGTCAGCGGGCAACCAGCCCAGGATTTCCCCCTGGGACGTCTGGAGTCATTCACTGGCTGATATGCAGCAAGGACTGTCTGTCTGTTGGACCCTTTTCACCTGGAGCTGTCCCCGGGTGACCTCCGCCCCCTCTCCGTCTCACCTCGGGGCACCTGCCTCAAATAACGTCCCTGGTGTTGTCATTCACCTCATGGATAATTGATAGCATGTCAAGCTGATGCTAAGAAAAGAACAAGGTGGTGAGTGTGTGCCTGCTATAAATAGACTCACGACATGACCAGCATTTGCCAACTTTTGAGCAAAGAAAAGGCAGAGGCAGACACAGCAGCTTCCCTGGCTTCTCAGCAGCAGTCACGGCCCTGTCCAGTGGCTCCGATCCGCAGCAGAGGGCTGGGAAGATGAGGCTTCTCCCCGTTTGGGAGCCAAAGTAAAAATATCGCATGTGCAGGAACTTGTAGGGTTGTTAAGCTTAACAGCTTTCAAACATTTGCCTTCTTCCTTCCATTGTTGTCCTTTTCTGTTTCATGTGTTAAGCTCTGTATGTCTGCATTTTGCTCTCGTGGGCAATTCTGGTTCTAAGCTTTTGTAGACACGCACTCACCCAAGCAAACAAAAATGTTGCTGGCACCTAGGTGGGCTATAAATGCAGTGCATGTCAGACCCTTGCAGATACCAAGAGGAAAAAAGTTTTTTTCAAGGCCTGTGGCCTCATGAGGCATTAATCAAAAAGCCTGTAGTTACAAGCAGCAAAAACCGAATCAAAAGAGAAAGAAGCACAAATGGAAAAAGTACACGGATGCAAGGCCTTTCTCAACACCTCCCACTAAGTGTTTGCCACCAAACAAGGGAGCCAGCCCAGAGCAAAATTTAGATGAAAGCTGTTGCCTTCCCACCAGTATGGCCACAAGCTGGGTTGCCTTTAATTGGGGTGGGGGAGGGGCAGGGGTGTGGGTCAGAGAACAGAGGCAAGTCAGCAAAGTTTTTCATGCTTCAAATTCACTTCTGCGTCTAAATGGGGATCTTCGACTCGGTTAGTCACATATGGAACAAACTGGAAACAAGCTGAACGGAATGCTCCTAATTCTTTGGGGGCATTGAACTGCCAAATAAACAAGCCCAGTCTAGAAAGTTCTGTAATTGCCCATTCCCCAAAGTGACCTCCACTTGCCCAATCCTCTACCCACAAGGAGGCTGTGAAAGCTGTGCAGGCCTGGGCAAGGTCCCCCTCATCTGTGGCCACTTCAGCTGTGTCGCAGAGAGGACTTGTTACCGAAAAACAAGAGGTCCGAGGGAGGGGCAATACAATATTTGGCCCACTTAGGGATGCCCAAAACTGCTATACAACAGGGGCCCCTCCCGAAAACAAAATACTAAAATCTACTGGGCCCTTCTGTCCGCCGCCAATTGGAAAGGCATCTCTTAATGCCAGAGATTTGTGAAAAGGAAACAAAATGTTTATTTAATGCTATTCAGGCCTAATGCCACCACTAAAATATCAAAGTCCTTTAGGGTATACACCTACACCCACACAGCGCTCCCCTTCTCCCACTGTCCCAACTCTGGGTACCGTAAATCAGGAAAAGAGCACACGTCTGTTTTTCAGGCCGCTGGTGCCATCAGCTGTGTCACTGTGCAGGATCTCGAGTTAATCCAAAGTACTGTGGTACCCTCTCATGGTCCACTGGCAAGAGTCCTTTGTACCCAGTTCCAGTCAAAGTCTCTGTTGCTTTTCAGGCCCCGCGGTCAAAGGGGGCACCCTAAAGCCGCGTGGGCCTCTTCTACCAAAGCTGCAGGAGTCCGCACTCCACCAAAAGCATGTGGCTGTCTTCTTCACCTGGCTGCAGGGATCTCCATTCTGGCCAAGCTGCGTGGTTTTTCCCTTTCACCTGGGAAAGAGGGGGTCCGCACCCTGCCAAAACCACGTGGCTCCCTCTTTCACCTCACCAACAGGGGGGTCCTCACTCTGCTGAAACTGCGTGGCTCTCTCTCATCTGGCCAAGCGGGGGCCCTTCATGTCTCGGAGCCAGTCCTTTCCAAGCTCTCACACAGGCCTTCTCACTCAGGAGTCCCTCGTTACCCTCCTGAGTCCAAACCCTTCTCACTCAGGAGCGCAGCTCCTAGTTCCATCCTGAGTCCGTCAGTTCCACTACCTTCTCATTCAGGAGCGCAGACCCTAGTTACCTTCTCCTGAGTCCCCCTAGTTCCATCCTGAGTCCCCAAGCCCTTCTCACTCAGGAGTGCAGCCCCTAGTTACATTCTGAGTCCAAGCCCTTCTCCCTCAGGAGAGTAGCCCCCAGTTCCCATCTTGAGTCCCTGCCACAATTTTCTCCCTTCTGCCTGGCTCCAAACTTGGCCACTGCTATTTAACATATCTATGAAACCAGTTAAAGGTTATAGATATGTTAAATAATCATTCCAGAGGTTAGCTGCAAAACTGTTGCTATGCAAAACAGCTCTCAATGGCCTGGCTCCATTTCATCCCTTCCCCCCGGGGCGGGGGGGGGGGGGGCGGTGAGGACATCTTATATGTCTCTCCAATATTTCTATACACTTTGAATTCTGGACACCTTTCTAAATCTTTTTTTGGGGGGCCCCCCTGGCTGCACCCTGTATCAGACTGAGCAAGGAAGAGGGTGAGGAGAAGCTCTCGAGAGAGGCACAGCCAACTATGACCACTGTAAGGAGTCATTACATTTCAGGATCATGGGAACTGACTCCATAAACTCTAAGCATTGGTGTCTACAAGCAAAGCAGCCAACTAGAAACACTGGAGCCCTGGCTGGTGTGGCTCAGTGGATTGAGTGCCGGCCTGCAAACCAAGGGGTAGCCAGTTCAATTCCCAGTCAGGGCACATGCCTGAGTTGCAGGTCAGATCCCCATTAGGGGGCGCACGAGAAGCAACCACACATTGATGTTTCTCTCCTTCTCTTCCTCCCTCCCTTCCCCTCTTTCTAAAAATAAATAAATCTGGCCCTGGCTGGTGTAGCTCAGTGGATTGAGTGTGGGCCTGCGAACCACACAATCGCAGTTCGATTCCCAGTCAGGGCACATGCCTGGGTTGCAGGCCAGTTCCCAGCAGGGGACTCATGAAAGGCAACCATACATTGATATTTCTCTCCTTTCCTTCCCTTCCTCTCTAAAAATAAATAAATAAATAAAATGTAAAAAAAATAATAAAATAAAATAAATAAATCTTACAAAAGAAAAGAAAACACTGGAAATTTAAAGGAAGAGGCTTGGGTCCAAGGTCCAGTTCCTAAATGGGGGACTGAGAAAGCCTCTCAGTGTTGCAAAAGGAGGTCAATCGTGGAAGATTCTTAGGACACATGTGTTTGGAGCCAGACATTCACCAAGCACCTCAGTTACACTAATTAAGTTCTTCCTCAACAATCCCTGACAGAGAAGAACTGTAGCCTAGCAGGCAGCCGCACCACCGGCACACATGCATCCCCAATAAACCTGTTTCCTGCTGAAGCCTTACTATCCAAGCAGACGGATCTCTCCCCTGGTTCCAAGGGAGCATCTCATCAATAATCCAGACCGGAGATCAGATGCTGAGACGTGCTGCGCCCTCGAAGGCAAGCACAACCCTGGGGCCTCCTGGTTACCCTGCGTGGAGCTCACGCCTAGGGAAGGATGGAGACGTACCCTTGGCGGCGCAGTTCTTCTCTGACTCATTTGTAAGCTACACTAATAATCCCATGATGCAAACACAGGGGGGGAAAATCTCTAAGGAACCGTCAGGACGGTTATTTTTGCAAGACATAAGGGAATGATTATAATGATTTATTAAAATCTTACAATGTGAGAA